ATCGTTATCGTTACGCTATTTCGAAAAAATTTAAAATTCAAACGCACTTAAAATTTTTCCTATAACGACGCTTCGAGTTTTCTCTATAGCTATTTTAAGGAAAACTTATGGAAAACTTAGTGTTATATTTTTAATTCTTAGTTATAAACAGAAAAAATTTTATGATTTCTAAACTTCAAAATTACTTGCAAATTTTCGCGTTTTCGACATATTTCGTAAAAAATTGAACTATAAACGCTTATAAAAAAAATTGTGACTAACGATTCTTAATTTTTTTTAGTTACAATAAGAACAACTTATAAGGAACCTTGTAGTAAATTTTCAAGTTTTTAAGGTCGTCCAATATTTTTTTACCGACACTTCAAAAAAAATCTCAAAAAAATCGAAAATTTCAGTGGTCTATAAATAACTCAAAAAAAGTCAAAACTTTTTGAAAATTAAACTGTATATATATATATAACACTAACATAAACATTTGGTGAAAAGTTCAAGTATTTACAGTGATTAGTTTTTGAATTACAACCATATAAAAAAAATCAATTTGGTCGAAAACTGGTTTTGCGTAAAAATTCCAGTTTTTATTTTTTTCTTTTTCTCGATTTTTTTGAAAACTGTTGGAAAATGTTTACTTTTGACCTCTATAATGCACCAAGGGTCTTCAATTTTACATCGGAAACCACCCCCAAAGTTTGAATTCGAAGCATTATTTCGACTAGTTATGCTGTACACAGACACAAAAAAAAAACACACATCATTGTAAAATCAATACATTCATCACTTTGTTCAGAATCTAAAATACAGAAAAAATTAAGATGAAAGAAAAAAGAATACATACTAAAGACTGTAGTATGAAAATTAAATGAAATAAACTATCAAGCATAATAAAATTATGTTTGAAAAATTAATATGAGGGCACACGGTTGCTATGGTTTAACAATTTTGTGCTAACACTTAACTTAAGTTTAATTATGAAAAAAAAATGAGAAGAGATACATGGGCGCCCGCAGGCAAATATTTTTTAAAAAGCAAGAAAAAAAAATGTAGAAAAAATTATGATGTAAGAAAAAAAGACTGGGATGTGTAATCTTAAGATAATAAAAACCAATAAAACATTTAACAATAATAAAACCATGATAAAATGATTATTTGAGGGCACACTATTGATAAATCTTAAAAATTGTGTGTAAAAACTCAACTAAAGGTTAATTTTGAAAAAAAATGAGAAGGGGTTCACGGGCACCCGCAGGCAAATGTTTTTTTAAGAAACAAAAAAAAATTCAGAAAAAATTAAGATGTAAGAATACACACTAGAGACTGTAGTATGAATTCTCGTGAAAATTAAATGAAATAAACTATCAAGCATAGTAAAATTATGTTTGAATAATTTATGAGGGCACACGTGGTTGCTATGATATAACAATTTTGTGCTAAAACTCAACTAAAATTTAATTATGAAAAAAAAAATGTGAAGGGGTACATAGGCGCCCGCAGGCAAATGTATTTTAAGAAACAAAATAAAAAATTCAGAAAAAATTAAGATGTAAGAAAAAAGACTGCAATGTGTAATCCTAAGAT